AAAGCCCGGCCGGGCTCGGAGCCCCCCGGCCGCTCCGCGCCCCCCGGCCCGGGCCTGCGGGCAGCAGCGTCCCCGGCCGCTGCAGGGGCTGCGTACAGATTGTTCACCTGATGCGAGCTGCGAGTGCCGCTTCTTGTTGCCGAGCCTTATGTTGTATGCATATGGTAGCTGCCAGCAGAAGAGGATAACGCATTTTGGGCTGTAGCTTAAAACTTTACCAATGCTCCCTTGCTTCTCCCTGCTTGAGGGGTTTTATTCGTTTGAGTGGAGAGGAAATGGTAGAGGTATGTATTTGTCGGGTGAATGTCGGCTTAGTACTTGAAAGCAGTCGGAAGGTCTTATTTGTTTGTTTTATGTGAGGTTATAAACCCGGTTACGGGTATAAATTGGCCGTTATTATTATCATTACTGTTTTTATGGAGGCACAGATGTCTGGGTGCTGTGAAGAGGGCCGTACCTCAGCGGCGTGTAGCTGCCATAAACTCGGTGCTGCAGAGCGGCTCGTGGGGTGGCTTCGGAGGCACATGCAGCTGGCACGGGGCTGAGGCTTGGCGCCCAGAATGGGCTGCATCTGTAACTGCCGGCTGGCTCTTGGACAATCTCACATCTACAGCTGGTGGATTTTAAAGCCATTGTTGCTGGATGTTTCTGTTTGCTCAGCTCAGTGCTGTGGGCAAAGGGGTAGTGGTGCTCTTGAGGAACTGTGTTTGTTTTCTGTGGGCACGGGCGGCTGAAGCTCCCCTTCCCTCACCTCTCTGAGGTATGTGGCATGTGCTGTGTGGCTCCTGGCCACATGGAGGTTTTGGTATGCAGCTCATGGGATCAGCAGTCTTGGCCCATTTTGGTATGTGCACAGGTGCTGTTTGTGTATCGTGGGTACCAACACGATTTTGCACTTGGCTCGAGTCTTCTACTGGGCAATGTTTCTCCAGAAGATAAAGCTGGACCCTTCTGTAAAGAATAGTGAGTTTTCCAAGTTCAAGACTTGCAGAAGGTTTTTCTTTATTCTGGTATTTTCTGTTCTTTGTTTCCCAGCAGAACTTTCTAGGTATGTTTCAAGTCAACGTAGGTGTTCCTGGTGCTTGGAGGAGCCAGGCTGGGAGCAGCTCTGAGCCAGTGCTTTCCGTGCTTCCTTGGTGGGTGTAAGGCAGGAGTGCTTCCGCTGGCCGCTCTCATTCTGCATCAGGAGTTACTCTGGGTGGTTAGGAAGCTGGAAACAATGTGTATGGGGAATATTTATCTACGTGAAAGTCTGTTCGGAGCCTCTGAAATTTTGGCTAACAGGTAAATAATCCCTCATAAAATGTAATAAGGCAAATGTGTGCTAATGACGTGTAAAAGTGAAATCTCGGTTTCTTCTGCTTCTTGGGCGTCATCTTGGATTTGGTCACTGGTGTCTTATTTTTCTGAGGGTGTGCAGTCTCCAGCTTGAGATCTTTATTCCCCACTTCTTCCCACTATTATTATTTTTCAACACCGCTTCTGCCTCAGCATACAAATGGTGGCCAGTTTTTCTTTGCAGCAAAACAATTGTATTTTTCTGTCCTAAGTAAGCTTTTCTTTAAACCTGACTCTGACAGTCATTTTAAGTGGTGCCACTTGCCTTACTCAAAACAGGGTTATGTCAAGAGAAATTGTGCTGCTGCTGCTTTTGTTTATGTGGTAGTACTGTAATAGGAAAAGACTTGTTCTTGGTACAATGAATGCTGGTACACCAGAAATCCTGCTAATGATAGTGATTAATGCGTGCTGCTCAAAATAGCTATCACTGCTGATATGACTAATTGTGCTGTATGAAAAGAGCTCCTTTGTTCCCAGTAATCTCAAGGTGTTTCTAGAGTTCTAGAGAAGTGTCTGATCAGTGCAGACAGATAACTGCACAGGGAGATACAGAACTTGCTGGAGTGTGGCAGCTCTCGGGAGCTTGCTGCTGTGCTGCAGAGCCAGTCAGGGCCGAGAATGGGTATTTTCTTGTGGTGATTGTAGGTAGATAGAATACTATTACAGGAATTGGGTGTTAGCCAGTGCAACAACCTACGTGTTGCAAACAATGCCAGGGTATTGTTAGTAGCTACAGAAGGGGTTTATATTGTACATGAAAGATGACATTTCCAGCAGCATGGGTACCCTCATCACAGGGTGCTGTGCTGGGGCTGGCTCCGAGGGCCACTGGAGCTGCTGCACTTGACAAAAATCTGTGTTGTAGTTGCTCTGCTCCTCCTAGAGCTTGGTGATGTGTCTGGATACTCTTCCCAGGCCTTGAGGCATTCAGTGATGGTGACAAGCTGCAGGCAATCCCATGCTTCTGGGCCACGGCACATTCCAGGCTCTGTTTGGATTTTGTATGTGCTGGAAACTTAGTGGGGACTGTGGATCTAAACCATAGGAGGTCCTGTGTCTTGATACCTGTAAAATCTGAAATTCTGGCTTGTAGGATGAAAAAATGTTTTGAAAATTAAGTACAATATGTTAAAGATGGGTTTCATCTTTAACATATTGTACTTAATTTTCAAAACATTTCATGTTTTGAAAATTTTTTTGAAAACATTTTCATCTCACTAGGAAGAAGCTTGAAGTTGTGTTTGTTGCACCTTTGGCTTTGTGTTTCTTCTCCTCTGCTGTTCATGTACCTCAAGACAATTTTACATTAGGAGTTGTTTAGACATTTGTCCTTTCAGCCATCAAAGAAATACTTGAGGTGTGTGTGGGGGAATAGGACACATTCCATTCACAAATTCTGCTTTGCAGGTTAATTGCCAATTTGGTCTGATGGGATTCCAGTCTTGCAGTGTTCTGTGGATAAACTGGTTTAGTCCAGTCCTTGAATTTTGTCAAAACTGTGATTAAAACAAGGAGAGAAAAAAGACTTTTAAAATGGAACTTCAAAATTATACTTTCGGTGGTTATGTGGTGTGTTTCACTTTGAAGAGCTCTAATGTGACTAGACAAATTGTTTTGAGAACTGTGGTCTTGGAATGTCAGTCTTGTCTTACCCTGCTGTAATTAATGAATGAGTGTATTGGCTACTTAAGATAAAATTTGGGGAATTGATCTGTGTGATTCTGTTATGGTCACAAGCTTTGTGAGGTAAACCATCTTCCAGGGATTCAGGCTGGAGTGTTTTGGAGTAAAAGAAAAAGGAGTGAGTGTGTGTGAGAAAAAGCAGAATAGAAGGTTTGAAATGCTAGCCAAGCTTTGAAGAATGACAGAAAAGGGCTGAAAAGGGGAATGCTCAGGACCCCTTTCCAGGTGCAGCTGGGGGAGTCCTGGGATGTCTGTGAGTGTCTGGGTGGGTCTGAGGTGGGAGTAGCTGAGGCTCTGTGAGCCTTTCAGGCATCTTTGAGAGGCTGTGCAGCACGTCAGGCATTTTCCCAGCTGTGATACTGCATTCCATCGATGGCAAATTGGCTTCAGTCTGGTGATAACATACGGCAGCTTATCCAACTCCAGTTGGAAGTGTGATATTCTAGGACTTGGCTTTGAAGAACCATTTGCACTAAGGAAATAAATATTCTTCCTTCTAAGGAAAGCCCTCATAGGAGAACACGATAGCCCTGGCAGATAGAATTTTTGCTGTATTAGCTAAAAAGCAAACCAAAAACTTAAAAAAAAAATTACTGTAGAGTAACTGCCCATGTTTTACTGTAGGGTCACATTGACAAAATAATGCCTTAGGAAACATCTTTACAATGCATCCCTAAGTTGTGACCAATTCCTGCTTATGTTTTTAGTAACATTTTCTCCCTGAAATAGCTGATGAGTATTTTCTGGTTTAGGCTAGCTAGATTTTCATTGTTCCTTCTCCGTGATCTTTTGTTGCAGGCTTTCCTAACAGTTTGCTGCTTTTTCAAGTGGTTGGGGGGTTTGGGGTCAACGGGACTCTGTGGTTTATCGAGTCATATTACACTGGGGTACTTGTCAGGCATTAACATTTTCTGGTAAGCATTTCTGTACAACAGCATTGCAAAAGATAGATTCTTTGGGAAATTTCAGCAGGAGAATTCTTCCACCACCCTGTCGGTCACTCCTCATGTTGAGCTATTCTATTTTTGTTCTTTCCTGACACTACCTTTGTGCTGGTTAGAATGCTGTAAGGGAACATGTCAGCTGGCTGTTTAATAGCAGTGGTTTAGGTGTGACTCTTGTTTAGTTGTGCACTCAAAGCTGACATTTAAATGGTACTGTCCAATTATAGAAAATTCCTCGGGCCCTGTGTCGTGTACTCTGCAGTCTGGGAACAGAATAAATTCCTCAACCTAAATGGCTTCTGAATGTAAGAGAAAGTTTGTTTCCCTTGATAGAAATAGTAATATTGAACTTAGTTTCTTTAATGCTTTAACATGTTTCCCTTGATAGAAATAGTAATATTGAACACATTTTGGGAACTCTAAAGCAGAGTTGTAGAGGAGAGGGTAGGAGAAGAGCAGGAACAAGGGACTTCCTTTTTTCTATTTCTGCACAGGCATCTCTAGTGTGATTCATTCATGTGAGGGTTGTCTACCAATGAAATTTATCTCTAATCCTGACAGTAACTGAGTGCTTTTAGTTTCCCAAGTAGATTACCTGACTGTCATAACTGGTATGTTTGTGAGTTTCTGGATGGTGTTGGGAATTCCTCTGGATTTACTGGGGTAAAGTTAGATCCTTTGAAGCGTGTCCACATGATTTGTCTCATACCAGGATATTCAGGGCAATGATACTAGGTAGTTTTTAATGAAAGTTGAGCTTCCTGCTCTTCTGTACATATTACAGAAGTTGGCAGTGTACCTGGGAACACTTTGAGTCCAAGCACAAGGACTTCCCTGGATGAAGATAAAGCACCTGAATGTCTGCAGCTCACATTCCAGGAAATTCTGGAGATCTTTCCTGAGAGTCTAAGTATAAGATAATATTTTTTAAACTCCCTTAAAAATATTTCTAGCTGATAATCTCATCCTGAAGAAGCCAGATATTCTTTTTCTATGATCATGTAACAAAACTGCTGAAAAGCAGAGGGCTGTAGTGCCTAGGAAGGACAGACACACAGAGAAACATTCCTCTTCTTGAGAGACTCTTCTCATGGCTGCATCCTCTCAGCTGCAGTGAAAGACTGGGGAATCACAGGAGAAGGATCACTGTGGGTAAATGTAATTCTGTGCCAGACTCCAAAAGATTTGAGGAACGTAACCTCTTTCTGGTGGGTATTTCAAAATGTTTGTCAGAATGCTTTTTGCAAGTCTTGCACCAGATGGTTTTGTATTATGTGGAAGGAGGAAGGATACCAGGAGGAAGAGGGTACCTAAAA